GGGGGGGGGGGGGAGGGGTTGAGCACCCCTGCTTCAGATGGTAGGCAAGGGGTACATGTGTGTTCCTTGAGTTCCATAGTCCATAGGCAGCATAAGCATCCTACTCCAAGACGCCTCCTGTCAGCCAGCTGGGGTAGGTCTCTCCTCTTCTGATGCTTAATTGACAACATTATGTAAACATTTTCTTCCAAATTAAAACAAAATTGGCTTTTAATTTTCAGATGCACTCAGCAAGCCTTTGCAATAACTTGAAAGCAGAGCACCTTCTGGGCTGGAACCTGCTCTGCTCGAAATTTTGGCCTTTCTGTTCAGAAGGTTTATTTATTTTCCTCAACACACAGCTGAACTGGCTTAACATAGGATTTCCTTTAAATCCACGTGATTAAAGCAGTGAAAAGAGCTTTGTGGGCTGTCATTTTTAGGCTTAAACCATGCATAGTTTGGTTTAGCTGGAGTTGGATGGAAGCAGGCTTAGAGCGATCAACTTTCTGAACAAGTGCCAATGCAGGGGGAGGTATCTAACTAGTGCAGACTCTGCAGAGAGCAAGCCTGTGCCCTAACATGAGAACATGTATTGTAGCAGCAGCAGGAAAATTGCGCTGTTTCAGTGAAAGCACAAAACCTGTTTTTTGTACTTCACAGATTCCAAGTCCACAGTTACTGAAACGGCTTTGGAATTGGATGGTGCAATTGGCCCCACGCAGGAGGATGCTGCAGTCAGCCCACCCAGCGCAGTTTGAGACGTAATACTTACTAACCCCCCTGTATGTATGTAGAAATCTTTAGGAAACTTTTTAAACTTTGTGTATCTTTAATACAAGATACTTGTTCAATATTTCTTGTAAAGAGAAGACAGCACTTTGTTCTGCTTCAGACCAGATGGAAGCTTGAAATTTTTCTAGTTCTAGTTTTTTAGCTAAAAAATATTGCATATTAATCTGTCTTTAATAAAGCATTATGAAATTGTGATACTTTTGTATGGAAGGTATCTAACTCATGCTCTAAAGGTAGCGTGGGATCTTAAAATATGTAAGCTTACTGCAATGCCAATGGTAAGTCTTCTGTTCATAATTCTGTATAGCCTGGCCTTTGGGGCATAAATGATGACATGTACAATTATATTTGAATTTTTGCTACCCACATTATCTGGCTTTTCTGGTTTTCCTTCCTATAGGGACAATAGCAGGGGCTGATGTTTGGGGGCAGGAAGAGAATGTATATGAGATGACACCCATGTGCCTTTCTGAAAAGGCCAATACCAATTACAAAACTGGCTAACAATTCAATTCAGAACCGTGTGAAGCGTGCTTGCCTGCAAATGTCTCATTTTAAAACCTCACTTACTGTACTATGTGCGTAGTGATTAGTAGCTGTATCCTAAGGTGTACCTTTAAGTGTACCTTTTGGCATATGCCAAGGGAAGTTGTCTACATGTTTGGCGGGTCCTTGTCATTCAAAGAAAAACTTGAGAAGTTGCAGCACATACTGAATTTACTGTGAAGTCCACACCTCAAAGAAAGGCTATGATCATACTCTAATTGGAAAGACTGACTACGGGTGGTGAACATCACTCTTCACTTCCAGAGTATGGGGCTTGTTTCTGGTCCCATAAGCAACTTTTGCTTGATGTGTCAGATATCATTTGTATTTAATCTTCTTGTTCCTACTCAACTAGATGAATTTCATAAAGTAAGACTTGAAGGGACTGTTGGGGTAATCTTGTCTGATTTAATGCAAAGAGGGTTGACTGTTCTGTATCATGTCTCGGTACAGCTGGACCATAGCATGTTGTCAGAAACAAGCTATAGTAAGACTTGGTAATAGGGAACATTAGGCATACCTTAGTTCCAGTTTGTACTCTCCTGCTTTTAACATCCAGTCCTTAAATCCCATTTTGTGTGGCTTTCTGCTAGAGTGCAGCCTTCCCAGTACTTGACTGTCTGCAAAGGTACTTTTGGAGAAGTAGGCAATTTGAGTAGTTTCCTCAACTTTACTAAAATGCTTGGCTTCAAATATCTTGTCTCCGGCCTTCATCCCTTGATTGGATCTTCAGCTACACTGTGTGTGTGTGTGTGTGTGTGTGTGTGTGTGTGTGTGTGTGTGTGAGAGTGTGTGTGTGTGTGTGTGTGTGTG